CCTCACGCGGATGGGTAGGGCGCGACGCCGGGGTAGTGAAGTCGTGCCATCAACCCGCGTGCGGCTTAAAAGACAAGGCCGCCACTGGTTTGATTGGTCCATTTCCAGCCCGCTACTCCTCTCTTTCTCTCTCTCTCTGTCTCCCGCTCTCTCTCTCTCTCTCTCTCTCTCGATGCTGTTTGTTGTTGGTTGTGTCGCTCTCTCTTTTTCTCTCTCTCTCTCTCTCTTTCTCTCCTCTCTCTCCTCTCTCTCTCTCTCTCCTGCTATCCTTGTTGTTCTCTCTCTCTCTCTCTCTCGCTTGCTCTCCCTCTGTGCGATTGTATATATCTTTGCATCACACGCGTTACATGGCCGTGCAATTATGTTACCCCTCTTCCTTTCTCTCTCGCTCTCTCTCTTCTCTTCTCTCTCTATAAATAAATATATATATATATATAAACTTCCCTGTCTCTGTCTTCGTCCCTCTCTGCATGCGTATACCCTCCTCTGCTCTTTCTCTCTCTCTCTCTCTTTCTCTTTCTGTGTTCCCTGCGTGTATCTAGATTACCCTCTCTCTTTATTTCTCTCTGTCCCTCTGACGCTGCTCTTTGATGCGTCATACCTCTTTCTCTCTCTCTCTCTGTCTCTCTCTCTCTCTCTACCTCCCTATCTTGTTCTCCATCTCTCTGTACTTCTCTGTCTCTTTCCATATACGGGTTTATACCGTGTCTGCCCCTCCCTCTCTCTCCCTGAACTGTAGGTTAGTTCTTTGCTTATCGTCTTCATGTGCCCTCCATTGCTGTTTACCTCTCTCTGTCTCGTTCTCTCGCTCTAGTTTGTTTTTTTTTCTCTCTCTCTCTCTCTCTCCCTCTCTCTCTTAATATTTTTATTTATACATATACATACATACATATATGTTTGTGTATCCCTCTCTCTGTCTCTCGCTCTCTCTCTCTCTCTCTCCCGCTCTCTCCCTTTCTATCTCTTTTGTGTTCTTTCTTCATTTCTTTCTGTCTCTCTCTCTCTCTCTCTCTCTGAAACCAGCCATCTTGCGATAGTTGGGCCCACGTGTTGAATCAGCGGCGCCCCGCGTCTCTCCTGTCCTCTCCTCTTCTCTCCATTCCTCTCCTCTCCTCTCCTCTCCTCTCCTCCTCGCCCTCGTCATCCCCTCACCCTCCTCCTCCCTCCTGTCTCCCACCACCCCACTTTGGCACACCTCTCACACGCTCCGTAGCTCCATAGAGAGCTCCACCTAAGGCCCGTAGTTGCGCCCGCATGCCGCCAGTACCCTACTTTGGCGCACCCCTCACATGTTTCGTGGCCCCATGGGGAGCTCCACCTAAGGCCCCAGTGGTTTCGCCCGCATGCCGCCACCACCCCACTTTGGCGAACCCCTCTCACGTTTCGTGGCCACATGGGAAGCTCAGCCGAAGGCCACAGTGTCGGGGATGGCATGCGTGACTGCGCCTATTTCGGCTACCCCCCTGCGACCCCATCAGCAACGTCGCTCCGTTCTTCTCACGCACGCCGTAGTTCTTTTGCTAGTCCCCAATCTTGCAGTACACCAGATTTCGTAATAAAGGGAGGGGGGTCTCATTTCGGGGGGGGGGGGTCCCTTCCAGGCTATCTTGGAGGGCCCGGGGGGGTCTGGGGACGATGCTTTGGAGGGTTCTCCCACGGGGGAGGTCTGAAATGGCTTGTCTTGGAGGGTCCAGACCCCCTCCCTTTTCTTACGAAATCTGGAGTACACATGGCGGGATCCCTCGCCAGACCTTTCTTAGAGGAAAAAGAAGTATGCACATGCACCGATTCTGGCCAGGCCCACCCTGAGCCCAGGATCGGTGCATACGCCCTGCCACCTTGGCCAGGGAGGCATATGCACCGATCCTGGGTCAAGGATGGGCCTTGCCAGGATCGGTGCATGTGCATATTTCTTTTCGCCGGATTTCTTTCGTCTCACAGCGTGGGCCCCCAGAGGCCTATAGGCCCGCTCTCCGTGAGGTCGGCTCTCCATATCCTGGGGCCCGGGCGCAGAGGGCCTCCGGAGGCCGAACACGCCCTGCAGAACAGAGCCCGTCGTGATCTTTTCGCGACGAGGCGGGGGAGGAGGAGGAGGAGGAGGAGGAGGAGGAGGAGGAGGGTGCGCTCCGGCTTCGTTTTTCGCGTCGCTCGCCGTCGCCCGCCGCCCAGTGTTCTCGCCTGGAGGAACTCGGCTGCGCAAGGATCGACAGGATCGACAGGAGGAGGGTGGGGCTTCCTCTCCCCCTCCCCCTCCGTGCAGCGCGGGTGCCGCGCTCGCGAGAAGGGTGCTCTCCTCCCCGAGAGGGCCCTCTGCGAGGCCACGGCGCGGAACCGCGACCTGGCCAGGCACGGCAGCACGTACGCGCTGCGCTCCGAGGTGCACCGGCTGCTCTTCCAGGAGGCTTGCACCCTCCTCCCCCGCCCCTGGAAGGTGGGCCGGCTGCGCGTATTAGTCCAGGCCTCCCAGATGCAGATGGGTTCGGAGTAGATGGGGTCGGAGGATCGCTCCGCATCGCCGATGCATCGGCGATGCGGCTCGGTGTGGAGCCCGATTTTCTCGACGCCAGCGTCGCCGATGCACCGCCGATGCATCGCCGATGCATCGCCGATGCATCGCCGATGCATCACCGATGTATCGCCGATGCGTCGCCGATGCGGCGCGATCCTCCGACACCATCTACTCGGACTCCATCGGAGGCCTCTATCTTCCCCCCTCCCCCCGCCCCTGGAAGGTGGGACGGCTAAGTGTAATAGTGAGCTTCCGCCGGAGTGGCCTTGTGGTGCGGGCTCACCAGGGTGGTCCCAGCACTGGCTCGCGCACTGGGTTTTGCACCAGAGGTCTTTCTTGCCTATGGGCTACTCTCGGAAGGATAGGGGGGAGGAGGAGGAGGAGGAGGAAGAAGAGGAGGAGGAGGCGGAGGCGGAGGCGGAGGCGGAGGAGGAGGAGGAAGATGAGGAGGAGGAGGAGGAGGAGGAAGAGGAGGAGGAGGAGGAGCAGCAGGACGAGAAGGAGGTGGGAGGAGGAGGTGGAGGACGAGGAGGAGGAGGAGGAGGAAGAGGACGAGGAGGACGAGGAGGAGGAGGAGGAGGAGGAAAAAAGAAAGGAGGATGAGGAGGAAGAGGAGGAGAATGAGGAGGAGGATGAGGAGGAGGAGAAGGAGGAGGAGGAGGAGGAGCAGGAGAGGAGGAGGAGATTAGACGGAGGAGGAGAAAGAGGAGGGAGGAGGGGGGAGGAGGAGGAGGAGGAGGCGGAAGGAGGTGGAGAAGGAGGAGGAGGAGAAGAGGGAGGAGGAGGAGGAGAAGAAGGAGGAGGAGGAAGAGGAGGTGGAGGACGGGGAGGAGGAGGAGAAGGAGGAGGAGGAGGGAGGAGGAGGACGAGGACGATGAAGAAGAACAAGACGAATAATACTAATAATAATGAGATATATCATGGTACTACGAATACTATTAATTTTAATAGTAATAACACTGATCGTCTTACTAATTCTGTAGTATAAGATGGATAATACTTATATAAGTAGCCATCGTCAGAATAAGAATAATAATGGCATCACTACGAATACATATGAGACGAATCATACAACTCATAAGACTAAGGAGACGAATTCTAATAAGACGAAACGTAAGACTAATACTAATAGCAAGAAGATGAGGAGGAGGGAGAGGAGTTGGAGGATTAGAAGGAGGAGTACAAAGAGGAGGAGGAGGAGGAGGAGGAGGAGGAGGAGGAAGGAGGCGGAGAAGGAGGAGGAGGAGGAGCAGAGAGGAGAAGGAGGAGAAGAAGGAGAAGGAGGTGGAGGAGGAACAGGAGGAGGAGAGGAAGAGGTGTGGAAGGAGGAGGAGGAGGAGGAGGAGGGAGAGGAGGAGGACAATGAGGAGGAGGAGGAAGGAGGAGGAGGAGGAGGAGGGAGGAGGAGGAGAGACGAGGAGGAGGAGGAGGAGGAGGAGGAGGAGGAGGAGGAGGAGGAAGGAGGAGATGGAGGAGGAGGAGGAGGAGGAGGAGCAGGAGGAGGTGGAGGAGGAGCAGCAGGGGGAGGAGTCGGGAGTCGCTCCCTTCCCGTTTCCCTCCTCTCCATCCCCTCGTCCTCGTCCAGGGAGACCCCACCGCCCCCCCCCCCGGGAGGCCTTGCCCTCCCCCCCCATCTCTGGGAGGTGGCGCGGAGAGCTCGGCCTCGTACGACGTGGGAGGTGGGGATGGATCGCTCGGGCGCGTGCATTTTTTCGGCTAGGGTCATCGAGGAGCATCTTGACTCATCTGGCGCATCATAAACGCACGAGATCGACAAGTGCACGGGGAATGAATGGATGTCCGAGCGATGGTGAGAGGAGGGCCAGCTGGGCTGAGGTAGGCACGGGACGCCCCTTTGGCCCTCGGGAGGCTCCGTCGTCGCCGCAGCTGGACGCAGCTCGTGAAAGCTGTGCGCCTGCCCGCCTCCCATCCCCCCAGGGAGGCGGCGGAGGACCCGGGGTTCCAATCAAGGTTCGCTCTGCTCCCCCTCTCCCCCCCCTCTTCCCCCTCCTCCTCCTCCTCCTCCTCCTCCTCATTGTCCTCCTCCTCCTCCTCATTGTCCTCCTCCTCCTCCTCCTCCTCCTCCTCATCCTAGCCGTTCTGGCTCAGGCATTTGGCCCTGAGCTTGCAAGCGCGCGCTTCAGAGCGGCTCGTGCTTGCGAGCCAACTGACACGGAGACGAGCTCGGCTGGCCCATGGCATCGCGCCGCGATGCGCCTGCGGTCCGAGCCTCAACGGCAGTACAGTGGGAATGCACGGGCAAGTGCGGAGGTTGCCCGAACCACATCAGCAGGGCGGAGTGCAGAGCGTTTGGGGCCAAGGCGCCGCCCGGCATTCTGGCCGCCCTCGAGTCCTGCCAGCCCCTCAGCCTCGGAGCTGCGCCGTGGCGCGATGGAGGAGGAGGCGCCGCAGGAGCCGCCAAGCTCCACAGTAAGGCCAAGGCCAAGCCGAAGGGTCAAGCTCGCGGTGCCCAGTGGGACAAAGCCAAGAA